AATGTGTCAGTGAGATAATTTGCATTGTCGCACTAATAAAAACGATCCGTAGATTTGTACATTGAAAGCATGGCTGCAGTGACATCCCTACAAATTTTGTTCCTACATCTCAGGATTTTGTTGCTTTAGGGAAATCATGCTGAAGATACAAAGGATCATCATGTACAAAGGCCATCCACTCCAACTCCTGCCATGCAGGATGGACATCTATTCTGATAGCATTTAAGTAATTGGAAATAAATGCCACTGAATAAAATGGAGCTTACATTCCAGTAAATAGGCGCTGGGGGAGGCTGCATTTCTTTTCCTACAATTTGAAGTTTGCCTACACCCAAAAAAATCCTGTCTATTGTTGAAGGTTGCATTTCATGCACGCAATAGTATTTTCTCAATAAACATGTTTAGGATTATGTTTCTGTTTCTGCAAACTAAGATATAAAGAACACTTAAAGGGAAAAATTTGAGAGCAAGAATTACCTCTATGAAAGGAGGGGGACATGGTGAAAACTTAAAATTTTTAAAAATAATATGATAGCTTTATAGAATAACTCTAGCACCATTATTGTTTATGTTCAGCTTTGAGGAAAATAGTGTTTCCAAGATAGTTAATACATTTGTATCCCACCTTTCCATCCAATGTATCCATCAGACAGTTAACAATAATGACATACAAAAGCATGGCATGGAATACCAGTAATTCCCAAAGTTACATTAATGAAATGGATAAACCATGCATTATGGGTTAAAAACAAAACCTGTCGCTGGTGTGTAATAATTATGTCTTAAACATTCTACTCTCATATATATTTTTCTTTTGAAATAAATAAAATTAATTTCAACATTTTGTAATAGTCCCATAGAAAATAATATTCTCCACAACACAACACTGGTAACTATTAGAAATTCAAATAAAATAAAATGACATGGCTATGTATAAATAATAAACTTAGTATAATGAGGGTAAATATTGTTCGTGCAAGACACAGCTTCTGAAACAAATAATGTTTACATCCATCTCTAATGCTAATTTTTACATCCATCAGTAAATACCATCAGGGGCGTAATTGGAGCCCTCCACTATTGGAGCAGATTGTGGCCTTGAGATCTCAGGACTTAGGATGAAGTAACCATGGAAGGTTTGGGTGTATGATCTGAGGTACAGAAAACTCTGAGGTGTTCATCCTCACTTCTTTACTCATTTGCTCATAAACTGGGTACTACTGCAGTGTGGCGCAATGCTTGAAAGCATTCAGAGCCCCAAAACCAATTGGTCCAGTTTCAATACTGTGGAATCTCATGAAGGCACTCCTTTGGAAGTCGTTATGATCTGGAGTAGCCTAAACCTTATTGCAGGATGCTTCCCATCTATTTCGATAGTCTACATACATTGGACATGCTTGAAAATGTCTTCTACCCCATCCCTCTTCATTTGGCCAGATGATGTGATTTAATTTTTTAAAGAAACATTTTAAAATTTACTTTTAAAAAAAAAAAAATCCTGGGGCCTCATCTTTCTTTCCTCTCACATCAGCTCTTCAGTATTTTAATGGGACACATGCTGCTTGGTCAAGATGCCAGGCTACACTTTGGTGCTGTCAGCTTTGCTCACCTCAGAATTTTCTGTACCTCAAATCATACACTCAAACCCTCCATGGTTACTAGCTTAGGTTCATCCTAAAATATGCTCCTGAAGGTGTTATAGCAGAGGGCTTCAATTACTTTACATAGGATAGCCCTGATGGCATTTACTGATGGATGTAGCAGTAGCCTGGCGGTTTGGCCAGGTAGTGTGGAGGGAGGCACAACCCGCTACCGCCACCACCGCTGCTTTTAGTCCATCCCTGGTTTTGGGGGACTACAGCACCCTGGAGAGATGAACATTACCAGTGGTGG